TTTCATGAGCTGCTTATATATATATATATATATATATATATATATATATATATATATATATATATATATATATATATATATATATATATATATATATATATATAATAAGACCTAATTAAATTACTCAGATTAGAAAATATTTTAAATTAATTTTGTCAATAAAGTTAATAATAATAACGGATTTTAGTAGTCAGAAAGTTTTTTCAGTTTAGTTCATTTATCATGCACCCCATACCCATCTTGTGGGCGGTAGTGGAGAGGGTTACAGAGGCACATAATGGGCTCAGGGACTGAACCCCACAATTCATTTAGCTAAACAAGTTACAATCTTGATGAGCTAGTTACAAAATTCAGTGCACATCGTCACATCAACAATGGGCTCAAAAGAGAGCTATATTATTTCTTGCTGTGTTTGTTGTTGTGCATGTTAGGTCTTAAATAGTACACTTTGATATTAAATATCTTGGTAATTTCATTGTATATAATACTTTGTGTCCTGTTATCCAAAACACCGCTATAGCCGTGGATGTATTGTCATCAAAGGAAATGATGAAAGGTTTCAAACCAAGAGAATTTGTCCTACCTTGGTTGAGAGATGATGTTGGTGCTCAGGCCGCGTTGGGCCGGCGCTTGACCTCCAGATTATGGCGCCACATCGCTTCTGATCTGTTTGCTGTCCAGGAAAACGTCTTTTTATCCCTAGAGTGCCGCAGACGTCGTGTTGACCTGCTCGTGGTGGGCGGGGTGGTCGCTTACCCCCGTCATCGCCTCTGTCGTTTTCTCTGATCGTCGCCGTATTGCATGGGAGACTAAAGTTATTATACCTTTTTAACTTTCTGGCTTTTTAACTTTCCACGGTGCTGTGAAATTTCTCTATCCCTGTCTAACATGCGGTATCTGTGCATGTGCCTCTGAAACCCTTTCCACTACCGCTCACAGGATGGGTATGGGGTGCATAATAAATAAACGACACTACTGTGCCCGGGGTTCAACCACTGCAAACTACCTCAAACCCATCATCACTCAGCAAAAATCTGCTGTCAGACTTATAACAAATTCTGTCTTCAGACAACACACAGCCTCTCTGTTAAAATCCTTGAATATGCTAATTATACACTCTCTCATTGTAACGCACAGGAACCGATTATGGCCCCCATTTGGTTTACTATATCCAAGCATGGAGACCTCATCTTCAGAAGGACACAGCTGCTCTGGAGAAAGTTCAACACCGGGCAACAAAAATCATTTAACCCTCGTACCAGGAACGGTTGAGGGCCACAAGACTAACAATGCAACCAGACATGACAGGGCCGATCTCATCGAAACTTTTAAAATACTGAACAATTTGGAGGATGTTGATCCAGACAACTTTTCTAAAAGGTCAGATGTAACACAAACAAGGAGTTTTCAAGTTCAACAAGACACAATGTAGGACTGAGAACAGGAGATGCTTTTTCACCCACAGGGTTATAAACCCATGGAACCGCCTACCCGCCGAAGCTGTAAATGCCAAAACTCTGTTAAATTTTAAAATCCAACTGGAAAAAATCATCAGAACAAATGAAAGGACCTTTCACAAGCCGCCGGCTTCCTGTCCTTGTCGAGGCCACTAGAGTGTTAGTGGCCCCTCAGATAAATTCAAGTAAACACATTACATTTTGAAACTAGCTTATCAAGACTGTAACTTGCTTATCTAAATGAATTTTAGGGTTCAGTCCCTGAACCCACAATTATGAGATTCTGTAACTTTCTCCACTACCGCCCACAAGATGGATATAGGGTGCATAATAAATGAACCTATTTATTTATTTATATATATATATATATATATATATATATATATATATATATATATATATATATATATATATATATATATATATATATATATATATATATATATACAAGAAGGTACATTGGGTTTATGAGAGCACATAGCATTGAATAACTATGCTTATAGCTTAACCTAAAACTAAATTATTTGTCAGCTTAAGACCCAGCGGGAAACTCTATTCGTGGTAGAATGTACCGCTTAAACACCAGTGTATGAACTCTCACGACCCGTTGTGCCTTTATAAATAAATAAGTAAATGTTGTTGTTGCAGAATGGCTGACGTGTACGAAACACAGAGTACGTGCAAATATATAACTAGAGCGAGTGCGACGTAGTATACGAAATGACTGTAACCCGAGTGCAAGTCAGCAGTGTTGCCAGATTGAGCTACAAGTAGCGAATTATAGGCTACTTTTAACAGCCCGGCGCTCCTTAATTTGTAATCTCGCTACTTGCAACTTTTTGGACTAATTTATAAATAGATTGGGCTAATGACGTTAAGAAATTCAATGAGTGATTATTTATGCCTTTATAATATAATGTGAACAAATCCCAGCCGCGTCCAGCAGCCTGATTGACCAGACCACAATTATGTGTTTCATGTGGCGCTGTTAAACTCTGTACCGAGCAAACCCAACGTGCACATAATTAGCTATGCTGATGATATAATGATACACACCACTGGGTATGCTAGCACGCCGGACATTCTTTGATTTTGATTGTTGCCGCCGGAGGCGGCTAGTTTATTGTGCATCCCATACCCATCCTGTGAGCGGTAGCGCAAAAGCGTTACAGAGGGCACAAAAATTCTTTATCAGACCTCATCTTAGATTATTACATAAACAATTTCATCTATCCTTCACACCTTATAGTTACATGTCAGCTAGTTACAGAGAATGTTCTATTTCAGGAGCTATATATTTACAGTAGGTCATTATACATTAATCGTAGGTCTTATCGCTAATACATAATTGTTTGAGCAATCGAGATATTACAGTCATAGGGGAGCTAACTCTGTATTAGACTCAAGTCTAGGTTTAGTCATCTCAGCAGAGAAAACAAAGATACACAATCGGCGCCCACCCAGGCAGGGAGGAGCTGTTCGCAAGATGCAACTGTCTGATGGCTCCCAGCTTGACTATGTAAACAGATTCAAATACCTTGGCCTTGAGGTGCCACTGTGTGGTCCTGTTGTATTCAGACTCTGTCGTCAGTATAAAGAGAGGCTCAGAGCTCTCAAGCCACATACATACCGCTCCTGTGCCAGGTAAGTCCACTACGGGCTCACCATAGCCCGTGCTACTTGCCCCGCTCCTGTGCCAGGTAAGTCCACTACGGGCTCACCATAGCCCGTGCTACGTACTTGTCCCGCTCCTGTGCCAGGTAAGTTACGGGCTCGCCATTGCCCGTGCTACTTGGAACTTGTTCCGAGTAGCTGAATCTATAACAACAACAACTCTCAAGGCCAGTTACAGCCCCGCTCCTGTGCCAGGTAAGTCCACTACGGGCTCGCCATAGCCCGTGCTACTTGGAACTTGTTCCTAGAAGCTGAACCTTAACAACAACTCTCAAGGCTGTTGCAGGTTATCACTCAGGCTATGGTGCCAATGTCAGAATTGTCAAAATGATGTACCTTGCATACATCAGATCTTTAGTGGATTATGCTGCACCTCTGCTTGTTTTGATGCCTGAAAGAAAGCTTGGAGGGCTTGAAAAATTGCAGAACGAAGCCTTGAGGATAATCCTTGGGTGCCCTCGTACCACAAAGATACTTAACATAAAAAAGAAACTTAATATTCTGAGCGTTGTTCATCGTGTTACTGAAATTAACTGTCAATATGGTATAAAAATGTTAGGCTAACTCATCCTAACCCTTGCACAGAAACCCTCCAGAATTTCTTTATTGAAGGTCAGCATTGTTCCAAATGTATAACTAAAACTGGAACTGAACTCAGAATGTATCAGATTTATCACTTGGCCCTTGTGGATTTGTTCATTTGATCTATCACGCTATTGTGATTTGTATGTATATTAATCCTTCCCTTTCCACCCAAGAAGCAAATTAAAAACAGCCTAATTTGAGATGTATTTTTTTCTTGTCTCAATAAACATACTTGAATTTGAACTTGAACTTGAACACTAAATAAAAAATTGGGCTACTCTTATTACAAATTCGCTACTTTTAGGCCGTCAGCTCGCTACTTTTAGCAATTCGTATCTGGCAACCCTGCTTCGTACAGTGGTGGTTGGTGAGGCGGTAGTGGTGGTTGGTGAGGCGGTAGTGGTGGTTGGTGAGGTGGTAGTTAGTGAGGCAGTGGTGGTTGGTGAGGCGGTAGTGGTGGTTGGTGAGGCGGTAGTGGTGGTTGGTGAGGTGGTAGTGGTGGTTGGTGAGGTGGTAGTGGTGGTTGGTGAGGTGGTAGTGGTGGTTGGTGAGGCGGTAGTGGTGGTTGGTGAGGTGGTAGTTAGTGAGGCAGTGGTGGTTGGTGAGGCGGTAGTGGTGGTTGGTGAGGCGGTAGTGGTGGTTGGTGAGGTGGTAGTGGTGGTTGGTGAGGCGGTAGTGGTGGTTGGTGAGGTGGTAGTGGTGGTTGGTGAGGTGGTAGTGGTGGTTGGTGAGGTGGTAGTGGTGGTTGGTGAGGCGGTAGTGGTGGTTGGTGAGGTGGTAGTTAGTGAGGCAGTGGTGGTTGGTGAGGCGGTAGTGGTGGTTGGTGAGGTGGTAGTGGTGGTTGGTGAGGCGGTAGTGGTGGTTGGTGAGGTGGTAGTGGTGGTTGGTGAGGTGGTAGTGGTGGTTGGTGAGGTGGTAGTGGTGGTTGGTGAGGCGGTAGTGGTGGTTGGTGAGGTGGTAGTTAGTGAGGCAGTGGTGGTTGGTGAGGCGGTAGTGGTGGTTGGTGAGGCGGTAGTGGTGGTTGGTGAGGTGGTAGTGGTGGTTGGTGAGGTGGTAGTGGTGGTTGGTGAGGTGGTAGTTAGTGAGGCAGTGGTGGTTGGTGAGGCGGTAGTGGTGGTTGGTGAGGCGGTAGTGGTGGTTGGTGAGGTGGTAGTTAGTGAGGCAGTGGTGGTTGGTGTGGTAGTGGTGGTTGGTGGTGAGGCAGTGGTGGTTGGTGATGTGGAGAAGGTGGTCTCCAGTGGTGGTTGGTTGGTTGGTGAGGTGGTTGTGGTTGGTGAGGCGGTAGTGGTTGGTGAGGCAGTGGTGGTTGGTTGGTGAGGCAGTGGTGGTTGGTTGGTGAGGCAGTGGTGGTTGGTGTGGTAGTGGTTAGTGAGCCAGTGGTTAGTGAGGCAGTGTTGGTTAGGCAATGTTAGTTGGGTGGAGAACAGGTGCATTAGGCGAAAGAAAACATGGCCAACCTTGCCTGTCCCTCCTCTGGGAGTCAAGAGGTGGTCTCTAGTGGTTTTGGTGGGGACAAGAAGCCAGCCACTTGTCAAAGACCTCCCCCCCATTTGTCCTGGTGATTTTATATACAGTATTTGGATCCTAATACTGAATGGCTCCAATCACGTTTTTGATGATTTTTGTAGATGGATTTAATATTACAAGAAATACTTGGAGCCTTGGGAAAGCTGTGGAGGACATTTAAAACCAAGTTCGAGGATTTGTTTTAATTTTGAGTTGGCAATGTTTTTGTTCACTCGGGTATGGCCTCTTGAGGTTATCTTGAGATGATTTCGGGGCTTTAGTGTCCCCGCGGCCCGGTCCTCGACCAGGCCTCCACCCCCAGGAAGCAGCCCGTGACAGCTGACTAACACCCAGGTACCTATTTTACTGCTAGGTAACAGGGGCATAGGGTGAAAGAAACTCTGCCCAGTGTTTCTCGCCGGTGCCCGGGTTTGTTACGTTTTAAAAATGAGTTTTGAGGATGTGAGAAATAAGGTAGATGTGGTTAAGTTTTTTACCGACATGTTCATTTGGTAGTTGTTTATTATAGGTTGAAAAGAAAATTTTTCCAAGTAAAATAAGCTCATAGGACTTGGGAAGTGCATACTGGAGGCATCTCCGGTTGTACAATGAATCCCTCACTGTAACTAATTGGGTTTGGTCCTGTATAGTTCATTGAATCGAGATTTTTCTGTTTATGACGACGAGGGTTGGCCCTAAAATTGAACTTTGCAGTACCCCCACTCACTACATTTTTAGTCAGATTCATATCCTTTTAGGATGATCCATTGCTTTCTATGTTTTAACCATTGTTTTATCCATTTTAGTAGGTACCTTATCATGTGGTACCTTATCAAAAGCTTTAGCAAAGTCCATGTATGCTACTTGAAGGTAGAGGTATTTAAGAGGCACTTGGACAGGTTCTTGCAAGAAGTGCCGGACCAACCAGGCTGTTGTGGATGTGGGCCTGCGGGCCGCTCCAAGCAACAGCCTGGTGGATAAAGTTATCGCAAGTCGAGCCTGGCCTCAGGCCAGACTTGGGGAGTAGAATAATTCCTGAAACAATCTCCAGTTATACATCTACTGAAATTCCTTTGTCTTAATAGATGGTTACTGTTTCCAGAAATGTGAACAAGTTTGTTAGGCAGGATTTATTTTTAACAGAACTATTCTGACTTCATTTTACTAGATTTTTCATGATGAGATGGTGGATGATTCCCTCCCTTAAGATTCTCTCCGTGAGCTTGCAAAAACTGTATGCAAGGTCAACAATAATTTCGACCTTCGAGGTTCCACCCGTTTGGCTCTTAACGGTTTCACGTGTATGCGAGGTCAAACTAATCGAACGTAGTTTTCTGCTGAGCTATTTTTTATTTTTGTTTGAAAATGGGAGTAACATTTGTATATTTCCAATCTAGAGGAACTATTCCCTGGTCCAGAGATTTTCTGAAAAGGCATTTCAATGGTAGACATAGTTTATCTGCCAGTTCCTTAATGACTTTGGATTGAATTGGTGGTGAATTGGATTGCATTGAATCCAATTCAATTGGATTGTGGTGTAGTGGTAAGACACTCACCTGGCGTTCCGTGAGCACTCTGTCATGGGTTCGTATCCTGGCCGGGGAGGATTTACTGGGCGCAAATCCTTAACTGTAGCCTCTGTTTAACGCAACAGTAAAATGTGTACTTGGTTGCAAAGACAATTCTTCGTGGGGGCCGTATTCTAAGGACCATAGGATTAAGAACTTACCCGAAATGCTACTCGTACTAGTGGCTGTACAAGAATGTAAGAACTCTTGTATATATCTCAAAAAAAAAAATATCTAAAAGAATCTGTCCACACCTGGAGGTTTTGAATCTTTTGAGTTTGTTGGTGCTTTCCCTGCTTATATTGTATACCTGAAGAGGGTTCGGGAGTTGTTCTACTCCCCAAGCCCGGCCTGAGGCCAGGCTCGCATGTTATGGGGATATCCCTTGATTTATTCTCTTTACCTGTCTCAAACATTTTTGTGGGTACAGTATTGGGATGTAAAGTACAGTATTCATTTTGTGTGTTGGCTGACCTTTTATCATCAGTTACTTGTATAACTTGGTTGGTCTCCTCCTTTAAGGGTCCTACCGAGTCTCCTGTTTTGGTTTTACTTCTTATATAGGCATAGAATATTTTTTTTTATCTTTGTTTTGAGCAAGTTTTCTTTTGTAGTTTCTTTTGGGTGGTCTGATTTCTTTGGTGGTGAATTTATGGCCCTTCTGTATATATGTCATAATCTATTTTTTTTTTTGAGATACTGTATATACAAGAGTTGTTACATTCTTGTAGAGCCACTAGTACGCGTAGCGTTTCGGGCAGGTCCCTGGAATACGATCCCCTGCCGCGAAGAATCGTTTTTTCATCCAAGTACACATTTTACTGTTGCGTTAAACAGAGGCTACAGTTAAGGAATTGCGCCCAGTAAATCCTCCCCGGCCAGGATAGGAACCCATGACATAGCGCTCGCGGAACGCCAGGCGAGTGTCTTACCACTACACCACGGAGACTGTTAATTTTGTTTTTTGATGATTGATACCTGCTCCAGAAGTTTCTATTATGCAATTTTAGTATTTTAATGTTAACTTTTTCCAGGTTCCAAATTGAAAAAAATAAGTAATTGCCTTAGGATGCATAGGATTTTTTTTGCTCAGAAGAGAGTACTAAAGGTGAACGTGCCGATTTCCAGTAAGACATTGCTAGATGCTTCAAGTCTACAGCACTCCTCTGACCAGCTGCCAGTTATCTTCAGCCGCACACCATTAGTAAAAAGCTTTGTCTCTCTCTCACAAGCTTCATCATATGCAAGGGGAGAAGGATGCCTCGGGATAAGATCGAGCAACTGCAATGTATTGAACAAGTTTACTTCCCCAAATATCACAAATGTTCTCAAGCTCAACACATCAGAAGCTGACAGCAGTGCTGAAAATGAAAGCTCACAAAAGAAAGACTTCAATTTTGATGCACTTGGAGCCTGGGACAACCGCATTGATCTTCCCATTATGATGGATGCTAGTATCAAACACGGTAGCCCAATACCAATGATTGTTGCCTCTGATGTTGGCCGTTCAACTATTCTTGGTAAACGCACATATCAGGAAGACAGGTAAGAAGCAAGAATTTCAGTACAATACATATATTCTTATACTGTTCAGTATTTTATATAGTTGCTAAAGAATTGTGCTCTGTATTGTAAGGGGTAATGGCTCAAGAGTGCAACCTCGAAGCTTTGATATTTAACTTTGCACTTGTGTGAACTGGATAAGGATATGTGTATTTTGCTGATTGGAAAAATAATTTCTCAGTCTCTTTCCAGTTATTCTAGATACACTGATAATTGTACTGAGAAAAATAGATAAGGAAGATGCGATGGAAGCTAACAAAAATTGTGGGATGTGTTCAGAGTTAAGAATTTGACTTTAAGGTTATGGGTTATGTACAGTACCCTGTATAGTTTATTTATTTATTTATTTATTTATATATATACAAGAAGGTACATTGGGATTGTGAGGATACATAGCATAGTAATTACATTCTTGTAAAGTCACTAGTACGCACAGTGTTTCGGGCAGAAACGATAGTGATGGTGATACGAGTAGTTTTCTTTTACAGATACGTTACAGAAGACCTTCCTAACAACATTTTGTGCAGTGCTGTCTTTGATGGTCATGGAGGAAGCGAGTGCTCAGAATATTGTGCACAAAATCTTAAGGTGAGAATTATTCCATGTAGTCTTAAGAAAAGAAGACAATGCTTTACTAGTGTTCATTTTAATGCAGTTGTATAGAAAACTGTGATGTAGACTCCCAAGGTTGTGCATTGTTTCCGCATATTCATATTCAATACTGTAATTACTTTTTATGTTCAAAAACTGAAAAGCAGAAAAACAATGAAATTCTTTACAAGGAATTCAAGCGTGAATGTCACTACGCAAAAGGCACTGTTAAGCTGTGGTGTGGTCGCTCGTGCCACCAGGAACCACGCGCTCGGTCAACCCATATGTGTATCGACAAGAACTTATAACTCAAGGCAAAGCGTGTATACCAATTCAAATTTTACGAAGAAATTGGGCTCATAACCCGAAACATTCATAGAGGGGCATTCGTAAGCCGAGGGTCCCCTGTATACTGTATCTATATTCTTTCTTACACACAGAAAATCACAATACTGTACTGTATTGTGATGCATCAAATGAACAAATCCACAAGGGCCGTGATGAGGGTTCGAACCTAAATCCGGGATGATCCCAGACGCGCCTTAGTAGATTATGCAGTTGCAGTTGACATAGTTGACTCTTTGACCTTACTAAGGGCAAAGAGGTAAAACATTTGGTTGACAGAGCCCAAGTGCATGGGGGGAATTGTATAAAACCCCATTCTGTACTTTAGAGAAACTGCGGGAGCCTTGTGAGGGCAGTAGCACTCCAGGTTGCAATTTTTTTACCATGTCGTGGCATAGTCGACTAAGGCGAGTCTGGGATCATCCCAGACGTAGGTTCGAACCCTCGTCACGGCCCTTGTGGATTTGTTAATTATATTCTTAATTATTTTAGTCTTCTGAACATTTTTAGGATAATTTGTAATCTTTAGATTTTCTTTCTTATAGATTTGATTATTAATATTAGTTTCTCCACTATTCAGTGTAGTTTTGTAATGATTAAGCTGACTCTAGTATCTCCTTCAGTGTACCACAGGGGTTTATACCCTCCCTGATAGCCTACCTTTGTCACACAATTTTTAATGGAAATACTGTACACCAATAAATATGTAGAAAAGAATGAAATTTTTGCTTATTGTAAAGTTGAGGTCTTGTCTTAAAGGTTAATTCTCTCAGGTCAAAGATGTTTGTTATCACTGTCAAATTGCAGTCCCTGTGGCACAGTGGTAAAACACTCGCCTGGTACTTTACAAGCGCTTTGTCCTGGGTTCGAATCTTGGTCAGGGAGGATTTACTGGGGACCAATCCTTAACTGTAGCCTCTGTTCACTCGGCAATGAATGGGTACCTGGTTGTTAAACAATTTGGCAGGTCTTATTCTGGGGAGGTTACCTTGAGGTTACCTTGAGGTGCTTCCGGGGCTTAGCGTCCCCGCGGCCCGGTCGTCGACCAGACCTCCTGGTGGCTGGACTAATCAACCAGGCTGTTAGACACGGCTGCTCGCAGCCTGACGTATGACTCACAGCCTGGTTGATCAGGTATCCTTGATGATGTTAGGATTAAGGACCTGCCCAAAATGCTATGCGTGCTAGTAGCTGTACAAGAATAAAAAAAATCTTGTATAAATGTACAGTGTATTTTCAACAATTTTGGTAATATTGTATAGATTTAGATAACTTTTGTACCATTAGTAGAAAATACTTTATATTTTATTTCTGAAGCACTTCATTGTACATTAAAGATAAGAGACCCGAGGCAATTGTCAGATTGAGACACAGTGGCAGCTGCAAATACAAATGTAAAAATCCTAATAAATATACAGAAATGTATTTATTTTTAACAATTTTTTTTTAAACTAAGACTAATTAATAAATTTAAATACAATACAGTATATGAACATACAGTACAAAGAAATATATCTATTTGTAGTGAACAATTGCAATATGCATTTTATTTTTATTGTCCAATATATTTAAGTTTGTATGTTTAGGAAGTGTTACTGGAGCACTTGGCTGTGCACAAGGACCTGGAGGCTGTTCTGCATCATACCTTCTTGAAGCTCCACTCTGGATATACACAATGGACGCAACAATACAAAACAGGTAAGATATTTTTTAACTGTACTCATCTAGTTGTGCTTGCAGGGGTTGTGCTTTGGCTCTTTGGTCCCACCTCTCAACTGCCAATCAACTGGTAATTGCCTAAGTGTAGTTACAGGATGAGAGCTATGCTCGTGGTGTCCCGTCTTCCCAACACTCTTTGTCATATAACGCTTTGAAACTACTGACGGTCTTGGCCTCCACCACCTTCTCACCTAACTTGTTCCAACCGTCTACCACTCTTTTTGCGAAAGTAAATTTTTTTATATTTCCTCGGCATCTGTGTTTAGCTAGTTTAAATCTATGACCTTCTGTTCTTAAAGTTCCAGGTCCCGGGAAATCTTCCCTATCGATTTTATCAATTCCTGTTGCTATTTTGTATGTAGTGATCATATCATCTCTTTTTCTTCTGTCATTTAGTTTTGGCATATTTAATGCCTCTAACCTCTCCTCGTAGCTCTTGCCCTTCAGTTCTGGGAGCCACTTAGTAGCATGTCTTTGTACCTTTTCCAGTTTGTTGATGTGCTTAAGACATGGGCACCACACAACTGCTGCATATTCAAGCTTTGGCCTAACAAAAGTCGTGAACAATTTCTTTAGTATATCGCCATCCATGTATTTAAAAGCAATTCTGAAGTTAGAAAGCGTGGCATAGGCTCCTTGCACAACGTTCTTTATGTGGTCCTCAGGTGATGGTTTTCTATCTAGAACCACCCCTAGATCTCTTTCTTTATCAGAATTCTTTAAAGATTTCTAACATAATATATAGGTTGTGTGGGGTCTATGTTCTCCTATTCCACATTCCATAACATGGCATTTATTAACATTAAATTCCATTTGCCAAGTGGTGCTCCATATACTTATTTTGTCCAGGTCTTCTTGAAGGGCATGACAATCATCAAAGTTTCTTATTCTTCCTATTATCTTGGCATCATCAGCAAACATGTTCATATAATTCTGTATACCAACTGGTAGATCATTTATGTACACAATAAACATCACTGGTGCAAGAACTGAACCCTGTGGTACTCCACTTGTGACATTTCTCCATTCCGATACATTGCCTCTGATTACTGCCCTCATTTTTCTATCAGTCAGAAAATTTTTCATCTATGTTAGAAACTTACCTGTCTCCCCTCCAATATTTTCCAGTTTCCAGAACAACCTCTTATGTGGAACTCTGTCGAAAGCCTTTTTTAGGTCTAGATAGATGCAGTTAACCCAACCATCTCTTTCCTGTATAATCTTTGTGGCTCGATCATAGAAACTGAGTAAATTCGATATACAGTATCTTCCAGATCGAAAACCATACTGTCTGTCTGATATTATATAATTTCTCTCCAGGTGTTCTACCCATTTAGTTTTTATTAGTTTTTCCAATACTTTCCCTGTTACACTTGTCAATGATACAGGTCTATAATTGAAGGGTCTTCCCTGCTGCCACTTTTGTAGATTGTAACTATGTTAGCCTGTTTCTACACGTTAGATAGCAATCGGTGAAGAACTTTCGTAGATTAGTGGTTATGCACAAACGAACATTTCCATTTTTATTTATATAGATATGCGAACAAACTTGAATGGTCCCCAAGCGCATATGCAAATAAAAGCTCCACACCCCAGAAGTGACTCGAACCCAGACTGCCAGGAGCACATTGCAACTGGTGTACATGGTGCCTTAAACCATTCGACCATCAGCGACCGTTTGGTGTACAGATTCCTGAGCTTCTCGAGCTCCATCATATCTACCTTTGAAACCGTGTATGGAGTCAGCCTCCATCTGCCACATCACTTCCTAGTGCATTCCATTTACTAACTTCTCTGACACTGAAAAAGTTCTTTCTAATTTCTCTGTGGCTCATTTGGGTACTTGTCTTCCACCTGTCCCTCCTTGTGCATGTACCACCCGTGTTAAATAATCAATCCTTGTCAACCCTGTCAATTTCCCCGAGAATTTTGTATTTGGTGATCATGTATCCCCAAGCTCTTCTGTCTTCCAACGATGTGAGGTGCAGTTCACTCAGCCTTTTCCCATAACTCGTGCCTCTTAGTTGTGGGACTAGCCTAGTGGCATACCTCTAAAGTTTTTCCAGCTTCATCTTGTGCTTGACAAGGTATGGGCTCCATGCTGGGGCCGCATACTCCAGGATTGGTCTTACATACGTGGTATACAAGATTCTGAAAGATTCCTTACACAGATTTCTGAAAGCAGTTCTGATATTAGCCAGCCTCGTATACGCCGCCAATGTTATTCTTTTGATGGGGGCTTCAGGAGACAGTTTGAAGTGAAATACATTCCAAGATCTTTCTCTCTGTTTCGTGAAGGATTTCGTCTCCCATTCGGCATCCAGTGTCTGGCCTCCTATTTCCTCCGCCTAGTTTCATTACCTTACATTTACCATGTGACAATGGGCATCTGTAGATACTACTGTAGGTTTGCTTGGAGCAACAAACGTGGTTCCATCCACCAGAGGCAACTCTTGGGGGGGGGGGTTAATAAAGCATACAAAATATGTATGGTTAACGAAAAAGGTTTTGGCTGAAATTATAAATACTGCACAGTATTTAATAGCCATTGTTACTTTCTTATGATTAGAATTTTCCAGTTATTCATGGTAAAAGTTAATTTATTTTAGTGTAAAAAGCAAGCTCTTTCACAGCTTGTGTTCCAAACTTCACTTCTGAAGGATACAAGACTTAAGTGTGTAGTTAGAGAACAACTAGTAACACACAGTAACTGCTCTAAGTTCTGTCTTAATTTAAGTATCGGGTCAGCCAGAACAAAAATGGCTGACAGTAAATTGGTTGTCCTCAGTTGTCCATGAAAATTATGCTACTTGGGAGGAGAATGACCAGCCTGTTCTCTTGATTTGCCGCTCCGTAAAAAATACAATTGTTTTACCTAACCAGAAACATGTGAACCCGAGGAACCCAACTAACCTATTGAGGTTGATGTATAGTGTCATGTGAATTCCCTGCATAGCAGTGGAACTGCCTTTTTCCCCTCCCCCTCAATGCCTCTGCACTGGAAGTTCACCTCTACACCAGCCCAGACGAGTCATCAGTCCTGCCACCCCTCCGTACTCCCCACGGCCTGGTACGACTCGGCAGCAAGCTGGGCGCCTCCGCTAACCAGTAATTTGCCTTCACAAACAAAGAGTTAGCTGCCTTCAACTAGCTGTGAGGCACCTCAACACAAAGGCGCCCCCAGCCACAAACTAGCAGTTTGCTAGTAGCGCTTGTTACCACGTTGCGTTGACACCAGATGCGAGTCATCACCACTGGACTATATAAAGGGCACCGCCTCCCTAGGAAGCCACGGGAGACATCTCCCATCACGCAGGGTGCAGTCGCACCTCCATAGATCTTCAGTATCAGCTCTTGATACTGGTAATGGCTCAAAAGGGCCACCACTTACGGGCTATTCATGCCCGTGCCACCTCTTAGGTGGCTTAATCTTCATCGATCAATCAATCCTAGAGAGCCAGTCTCTCTTAGTGCTTTTGGATCACCTTAGCCTTCTGCAACACCCTCTGGCTTCAGCCAACGTCATGTGCCGGATACTGTGGAGGTATAGTTGTTGTCTTCAGCGCCACCAGTATTTACTCGGATATTCTTTTCATTGTATTTCTTGCACAGTCAATTCTTTTATTAATTTTCATATTTTGTTCACCTTAGAAGGGTATGATCGCCAAGTGTTCTCGGTGCCATTTTTGTTCATTAATATTTTGGTAAATTGTTTTCATTATTTTGTTTATTTTCATTTGTTTCCACCTGCGACTTAAACACAGCAAGGGCCAAAGCAGCATTTTTTGTATTTATGTGATGGAGAGCCATACCACCTTGGTTCAGTATAGCTGCGATACCACCTTGGTTCAGTATAGCTGCGATACCACCTTGGTTCAGTATAGCTGCGATACCACCTTGGTTCAGTATAGCTGCGATACCACCTTGGTTCAGTATAGCTGCGATACCACCTTGGTTCAGTATAGCTGCGATACCACCTTGGTTCAGTATAGCTGCGATACCACCTTGGTTCAGTATAGCTGCGATACCACCTTGGTTCAGTATAGCTGCGATACCACCTTGGTTCAGTATAGCTGCGATACCACCTTGGTTCAGTATAGCTGCGATACCACCTTGGTTCAGTATAGCTGCGATACCACCTTGGTTCAGTATAGCTGCGATACCACCTTGGTTCAGTATAGCTGCGATACCACCTTGGTTCAGTATAGCTGCGATACCACCTTGGTTCAGTATAGCTGCGATACCACAACCCGCCATAATAGAAACATCGATATTATGGTATTTTAATTTTTGACTAATACTGTACATCACATTTTTAACGGAGTGGTTAACTTCATCAAAAATGTGATGTATTAGGTGAGAGGATGGGTTGGAATAATCCTTATTAACACTTTTTCTCTCCGATGATGCATTATGCGGCATAAAACCAAAACAAGCAGAGTGCGTGATGACGCAAACGTCATCATGCAATAAATTTTGCATAGTCTTAATATTAAGTATAAACAGTGTGAGTGCAAGAGTTTAAAATTGAGTTGTGTGCTCACCGGGAATGCTCTGCCTACCTTCCGGTACGGTTTGGGTGCCCCGCCGGGCATGTGATAGTGTTACTGGTTCTTTGGCTAAAGTCGTGCTGTAGTGCCAGTTGTTGGGCTCTTCCATCTTATCCACCTTCACTTTGTCTTTTCATTAAATACTGCTTTTAATTTCTTTACTGCTTGATGGGATTCTAGGAGTTCTACTCCCCAAGCCCGGCCCGAGGCCAGGTTTGACTTGTGAGAGTTTGGTCCACCAGGCTGTTGCTTGGAGCGGCCCGCAGGCCAGGTTTGACTTGTGAGAGTTTGGTCCACCAGGCTGTTGCTTGGAGCGGCCCGAGGCCAGGTTTGACTTGTGAGAGTTTGGTCCACCAGGCTGTTGCTTGGAGTGGCCCACAGGCCACATATCCACCACAGCCCGGTTAGTCCGGCACTTGAAGAAAACTATCTAGTTTTCTCTTAAAGATGTCCATATTGTTCCGGCAATATTTCTTATGCTCGCTGGGAGGACGTTGAACAACCGCGGACCTCTGATGTTTATACAGTGTTCTGTGATTGCGCCTATGGCACCCCTGCTCTTCACTGGTTCTATTCTGCATTTTCTTCCATATCGTTCACTCCAGTACGTTGTTATTTTACTGTGCAGATGTGGGACCTGGCCCTCCAGTATTTTCCACGTATATATTATTTGCTATATCTCTCGTCTCCTTTGTATTGAGTACATTTGGAGAGCTTTGAGACGATCCCAATAATTTAGGTGCTTTATCGTGTCTATGTATGCCGCATATGTTCTGTGCATTCCCTCTATTTCAGCAATCTCTCCTGCTCTGAAGTGGGAAGTGAGCACTGAACAGTACTCCAGCCGGGACAGCACAAATGATTTGACGAGTACAACCATTGTGATGGGATCCCTGGATTTGAAAGTTCTCGTAATCCATCTAATTTTTCTGGCTGATGCCATGTTTACTTGGTTATGCTCCCTAAACGTTAGGTCGTCAGACATCATTATTCCCAAATCCTTGACATGCTGTTTTCCTACTATGGGCAGATTTGATTGTGTTTTGTACCTGGTATTATGTTTAAGATCCTCATTTTATATGGTTGACTGTTACTCTTTGTGTACACTTTTTTGCTTTTCTCTCGTCTATGGTTTTGTTACTTTTAATTTAATTTGCATATTCTTCCTTAGAACAGGTCTCATTCTTTTTCAATTATTCTTGATTTCCAGTGTTGGCGAGTGTCAACTGCTTCACTTTGCAATAGTCAGACCGGCATGTGGAATTGTAAATAGTCCAGGGGTCCTTCTCTGTATTTGTTTAACACTTAGGAGTTTGAGAGGTATATAGCTGATTCTACATGTGGCCATTCCCTCGAAGGTACTGTGTTCTCAGAGAAAATATAGCAAAGAAATTAGATGGAATATTATTATATTCCATAGGTTTGTTCCTTGTATTATATCTCTTGATTGCTTTAAAATGACAAGCGATATTTGATATACAATATTTTTAACTAATATTAATTATAACAGTGGTGCAATTTTCAGTTTTTACCTTGTTTTGCAGGCTTGAAAGCTGGAACTACAGCAACAGTGTGTTTGCTACGAGGAGGAGTAGAGCTTGCTGTTGGTCACGTTGGAGACTCTCGGGCAATATTATATCGGTCGGGTTCACCAAGGGAACTCACACGTGATCACTGTCCATCACTTATCTCAGAGAAGGTACCATGCAAGCACAAAACTAATATTGATTTAAGTCATTTACATTAATTAATGCTATGGTTTATAAATGACAAACAGAATGGTTCAAGACGTGTTTATAGAGGTCATACACTTGAGGGTCTCGGTAGTACAGTCGGGTTCGTTCTTGACGCACAATCGAGAATTTCGGGTTCGATCCCAGGCGCCGGCGAGAAACGATGGGCAGTTTCTTTCACCCTATGCCCCTGTTACCTAGCAGTAAAATAGGTACCTGGGTGTTAGTCAGCTGTCACGGGCTGCTTCCTGGGGGTGGAGGCCTGGTTGAGGACCGGGCCGCGGGGACACTAAAAAGCCCCGAAATCATCTCAAGATAACCTCCCTTAATGCCGCTGTTCACCTAGCAATGAGTAAAATACTCAAGAGTTAGTAGCTTGTTGTTGGGTTGCATCCTGGGTGGGGTCAGCAATTTGGCCTTGGGTGGGGGGGAGGATCCTCGATAAAAGCCAAACGTGTATGAATACACTCTGGCTTCCTGTCCCCTGACACAATGAATTATTATTATTATAAGAGATGAATGTGAATTTCGTATTATAATGGAAAGTAGTATATGGCAAAATATTTTGTACTTCTTGAACTGTTACATCCATATCACTTAAATCTCATGGTTTTATAAATACCTGGGGCCAGATTCACGAAGCAGTTACGCAAGCACTTACGAACCTGTGCATCTTTTCTCAATTTTGGCAACTTTGTTTACAATTATTAAACAGTTAATGAGCTCGGAAGCACCAGGAGGCTGTTTATAACAATAACAACAGTTAATTGGCAAGTTTTCATGCTTGTAGACTATTTAATAAATGTAACCAAAGCCGTCAAAGATTGAGGAAAGATGTACACGTTCGTAAGTACTTATGTAACGGCTTCGGAAATCTGGCCCTTCACTATTATTACACCACATCCCACTTGCATGGGGTGGAAAGGCATCAACCAGAAGAAGAAGGAAGATGGTGTGTAATATAGTAAAAGTTTTTTTTATATTTATGTATACAAGAGTTCTTGCATTCTTGTAGAGCCACTGGCATGCATAGCATTTCGGCCAGTTCTTGATCTTAATTTTCCCTGGAATATGACCCGTCAAATCATTTAACAACCAGGTACCCATTCACTGCTGGGTGAACAAAAGTATACAGTTAAGGATTGGCACCCAGTCAATCCTCCCCTGCCAGGATATAAACCCAGGTCAAATCTCTCGTGAAGCACAGGGCGATTATCTTACCACTGCGCCACGGGGACAGCTAAATAACTTAACTTTTGCTTTTAAATTATATTGCAACACAAATATCATTCTTCCGTTCATTATATCATTTACACATACAATATATAGGCCGTAATGGAGCTTACCTGTGGAGTATACCAGGTAAGCCAGTCATCAATTGAAATATAATGACCAGACCACACACTAGAAGGTGAAGGGACGACGACGTTTCGGTCCATCCTGGACCATTCTCAAGTCGATCCTGGACCATTCGACTTGAGAATGGTCCAGGACGGACCAAAACGTCGTCGTCCCTTCACCTTCTAGTGTGTGGTCTGGTCAATATACTTTAGCCACGTTATTGTGACTCATCGTCTGAAATATGATAATGTTTCAATTGATGACTGGCTATGACTGGCTCATGTGTTATGTGAATTATGTTTTGCATACAAATTAATAATTCTATAATGAAATTATTTTTTGAAATCTTGTTTTATTTTTGTGCATAGACAAAAATGACTTGTGCTATAGCCGCTGGCCAAGGGTTTAAAAAACAGGTAGGGCTCTGGGAAAGCTGTTGAACACATATATATATAATAATTCTGGTTTTCATTTTATGTTAAGATACATTAATATTTCTAGGCACTGTTGACTGCCACATACTGTACCAAAATACAGTAGTTTACAGTACAGTATTAGTATTCTGGCCAGGTTTCGTATAACTTTACTGTGTTTATACGCACTAAACACACACGCTCGATTTATTCATTTTACTGTGTCCTTATTTACAGGATCGCATTATCAAGTCGGGAGGAAAAGTGAGCGTAGACAACATTGGCCGCCATATGGTAAATGACAGTCTAAGCATGACTCGTAGCATTGGTGATCTTCATCTCAAGCCATATGGAGTAATTGCCTTACCTGATGCAAAAACTTTACGGGTAAGACCAATACATGATGGGGTGGGGAAGGGTTCTTGAGGTTTTAAATTGTAGCTGTCAAAGCAATGTCTGATAGCAATAAATCATTGAGTAATTAAAGCAATTGTCCACCAGCTCGGTATAACCTGCGCTACCAAAACACGTCACAACGTTGTAAATGTAATTATTATATGCAATTAAATTGTAGCTTTATTTTTTAGGTAGGATGCTCCATTCTCTCCACATCACACACAGAAATCACAATAGCGTGATGCACCAAATGAACAAATCCACAAGGGCCGTGACGAGGGTTCGAACCTACGTCCGAGAGCATCCCAGACGCTGCCTTAATACCCTGCCTCGATTAAGGCAGCGTCTAGGATGCTCTCGGATGTAGGTTCGAAACCTTGTCACGGCCCTTATGGATTTGTTTTCTCCACATAATCACTGAAGTTTTCCTCTCTTACAAATCTCTTCTCTTGCTCTATCCAGATGTTACTTGCCCAACCTTTAGTGCTCTAGTTCCCTCTTTCTTCAGTCATTCCTTCACAGCAGGATTTAGAGTATGGCAGTTGCCAGGGGCTTCAACAAAACTGTTTTGAACAGTTTTCTTGTTCAAATTTTGGAATATCAAACCAAAATCATTGGTTTGCTATAGACATTAATTCTGAAATCAAATTTATATGAATCATGTTTGTTCTATTTGTGTGGTCAAATTTTTTATTGTGCTGTGTTAACAGGAAGGAGAGAACTATGAAAAGTGGCATCATGTGGGAAGCTAGTAACCAAATGACCAACATTAATAAATCTGAACAAGTTTTTTTTTATATAGAAACAACAAGGCTTATATGAGAGTAATGCTGTACTAAAGTTCAATAACACCAGCATGGAATCAACACCTAGCGAAGCACAATTTAAATTTTAAATTTACTGCCGCCTGGGTTCGATCCCAGGCGCCGGCGAGAAACAATGGGCAGAATTTCTTTCACCCTGTTACCTAGCAGTAAAATAGGTACCTGGGTGTTAGTCAGCTGTCACGGGCTGCTTCCTTGGGATGGAGGCCTGGTCCTCGACCAGGCCGCGGGGACACTAAAAGCCCCGAAATCATCTCAAGATAACCTCAAGATAGTGTGTGTACTACATGTGGCTTATTGAGCTTGAAACGATTACTCTTGTATGTGCTACATGTTACCTTTTAAAGGTAACATGTTACTTTTGTTACCTGTTACAGGCAACATGTAACAGAAAATAACTTTTAAAAACAAAATCACCCTAACCTGATATCTCTTGTGTGTGTGTGTATATCTGAAGTTGGGGCGTACGGTGTTGACCTACTTTGTCTGTGACCTCTGTATATAGGCAGTCAACAATTAATATACACTGAAAGAGTCTGAAAACCACCTCCATCCATAATCTCAGGAGAAGACTCCAGGACCCGTACTCACTAAGCGGTTACGTAAGCACTTAAAAACCTGTACATCTTTTCTCAATCTTTGGCAGCTTTGTTTACAATTATTAAACAGTTAACGAAGCACCAGGAGGCTGTTTGTAACAATAATAACAGGAAATTGGGGAGATTTCAGGTTTGTAAACTGTTGAATAAATGTAACCAAAGCCGTCAAAGATTGAGGAAAGATGTACACGTTTGTAAGTACTTGAGTAACTGGTAATTGTGTACACATTTCAAAAGTGTTGAGATATTTCAATTCACACCAGGTATAAAAGGGCAGTTGGTGGGACATAGACATATAGATATAGATATAGATATATACAGATATAGATAGATATATGCAGATATAGATATATAATATTAGATATATATATAGATATGTTCCTCGCACGCACACGTGTTCCTCACGTGTGCCCCAAAGAATGAGGTGATTTGGTAAAATGCTATGCCCAAGATTACTATCCGAGTGCCGGCGGTGGGGTGGTTCAAATAGCCTCGGCTATCACATTATGTCCGGTCGTGATGGTCAAGTGGATTAAGGCGTCTTGTACATACCAGTTGCGTTGCTCCTGGGAGTATGGGTTCGAGTCACTTCTGGGGTGTGAGTTTTCAGTTGCATATTGTCCTGGGAACCATTCAGGCTTGTTCGCATATATATAGATATATATAGATATATAGAGATAGATATCTTGGTTCTCCTTTCTCACAAATAGTTAAAGTACACAGAGAAATATGCAGATTGATTGATTGATTGATGAAGATTACGCCACCCAAGAGGTATGAGTAGCGTATTAAATGCGCAGATGATTGGGTAATGTTTGTGTGCACCAAGCCTGGCTGCTTTATTTCACTTGACATGCATACCATTTTCAGGCGTTAAATACACACCAACAGAAAGTACAAATTGTTTGAGCCTATATGTTGTGAGTGGCTTGTTTTCATTTCAACTTTAACATTGGATGTACAACAATTAGGCACCATTGTGAGCCGGCACCAGGGAGCCGTTCGACTGAGCGGACAGCACGCTGGACTTGTGATCCTGTGGTCCTGGGTTCACTCCCAGGCGCCGGCGAGAACCAATGGGCAGAGTTTCTTTCACCCTATGCCCCTGTTACCTAGCAGTAAAATAGGTACCTGGGTGTCAGTCACCTGTCACGGGCTGCGTCCTGGGGGTGGAGGCCTGGTCGAGGACCGGGCCGCGGGGACACTAAAAAGCCCCGAAATCATCTCAAGATAACCATACAATGCATAGTTAGAGGCCACCACTCCTAGCTGTAGAAAATTACACTGGAGCACAAGTGGAGAAAAGGTGGCACTATAGAAGTTTCTGAGGTACAGTACTTATTTAAGATTATACCAACAGGTGAAGCATGGAAAGGACGCCTTCCTACTCTTAATTACAGATGGTATAAATTTTGTGCTTCGCTCCGAAGAAGCTTGTCAGGTCATTAACCAAGCGGAAGATCCATATCGTGCTGCACAGTTATTGACGGAACAGGTATGTGTGTATATATAAAGGAGTTGATTTTTCAATAGATATTGCATGATTAATACATTTTATTGTCTGATTAATTGTCATGATTAATACTGTGTGTAATTTTATTGTCATCCAAGTTGGGTAATAGTGAAAAAATATACC